ACAGGCCATGAACCAGTACTGGTCCTCGACCTGGAGGTTGGGGACCACAAAGCTAATACATTCTGAAGTTTTTCAATAGCATAAGGCCACCTTTATCGTTATGGAGAAGGAAGAAGGGGATGAAGAATGTTACAAATGAGATGAAATGTTACTGCAATCAGTAATAAATATTTCTATCCATTTTTCATTGTGTACATGGTTTTAACAAAATTTGAAAGCATTCATTCGCATTTTCCATTTAAAAATCTTCTATCACATGCATGCAGTCACACACATCACAAATTGTTATTAAGATCATTTAAAGGGGGTGGAGGGATGGGTGTACTCACACCTAATGGGTGCACTGTCACGGCATGTACCGTCTGGGGGACGGACATGCTTGAAGCTCTGAATTGGGTGGGGCAAAGGCAATATATATAACCTAAACATTAGTACTCGTGTAATATGCTGAAACAGAAAATAACTTAATTTAAAAAATTAAAAATGTAAAAAAAAAAAAAACCATTTAAAGTAGACCCACTGAATTTATATCAAAATCAAGTATCAACATGAAAAATCCAGATCTTATCTCACCACTTAAAACTACTTAGGATCATTTGAAACCAACCTAAGCTGTTGCTACATTTTTTTAATTGTGCTTAAAGGAATTTGAATGCCATTTTTCAACCTCTAGGTGAGAATAAAAGAGAAAGTGCAATAAAGAAAATTAGAAGGCAAACCAATCTGTACTGACTACCTACTTGCACCAAATTCTTTATAGATACTATTTTATTTAATCCTCACAATAATTATTCATGGTATGTGTTCCAGATATTGTGGTCATCTCCCTTACATCCACTCAATACCATATCTGTGCAAAACCACCTCCACTGTAAACTGACCATTTAGTTTGTGTAGGAATGACTCAATATTGCTCCAGAATTCAGTCTTGATAGTCAGATTACCCAGAGCAATCTCATCTCCTCCCTCACAGTGATCAGTGCAGGTAATCCAGGCCAGAGCTAATTAGCACCTGGCTTACTAGGGGTCAGAGGGATTAATTCAGGGGTGCTCTAACCAGCAAAAATCTTAGAACTTTCTGCTTGGTGCTTGTGGGGAGCTCACTCACTCCATCTGGCTGGATGTGAATTAGGAGGCAATATAGCCCAAATTATTGCCAGGTTATCATCCTGCAACTACTACAGCAAAGAGCTTTATGGTGAAGCTAATATCACAGACGGCAGAGAAGAAAGATGAAACAAGAAACTGGCTCTTTGATGACACCCACTGCTGAATCAGCCAACCTTGAAGTCAGCCCCATCTCTGGACCTTTGACTTACACTAGGCAGTAAATTTTTTGGTCAGTTAAGCTAATTTTAATTGGATTTTTACTTTATGTCTAAAAGCATTCTAAAATCAATCTATATTTATATAGTAGTGATTATTGTACCCCATTATATAGAGGAGAAAACTTAACTCAGAATATAGAGTAATTTTCCTGGGGTCAAGCCTGGATAGGAACTCAGGAAGGTCTGACTATAAACCTGTCTCTTTCTACATTACCATGCTACTACTGAAAACACTTGTGATGTGTCTAAGATCAGTCAAGATTCAATTCAATTCGACATGCTGAGAGCCTATGTTAAAGTATGAAACTCCCCAGATTTTCCTGGGTCTGTGTTGAATTAAAATTACTTCGCTGTTCTCCTCATGAGAACTTTTAATACGTGGTGATCAAATGACATCAATCCCTCATAGTCTTTTACACATAGGGTAGCATTAAAAAAATCCCTTATCAGACTAGGAGTATTGGACCAAAAATGGTTATACTATGATTAAGGAACTTTGCTAGGTGACTCAGTGAACAAGAGGTTAAATAGCAGGTGGCACTTCCTCAAAGGATGTTTATAAAAATGCATTATGAAAACTTCATGGAGCGCACATGTCCACGCTTCAGTAACGAACCTAAAGCCAGCACGCTTGGCACTGATGCCTCAGCTTGGTCCACTGTCACCTCACCCATAGCATGCGACGGCCTTCCCATGGTGACATTCCCCATCTCCAGGCTTCTGTTCCTTTCGTCAATTACCACAAAAGTGATCTTTCTAAAGCAAAAATCTGACACTGTCACTCTCTGGCTTAAAATTTACATCTAATGGACCCACTCCTAGGATAAAGTCTAAACCCTTTGCCAGATACACAACAGTCTTCATTACCAGGCTCTTCCTTGTGTCTCTAGCCTCATCCCTACCCTTCCACTTATACCATATTATTTGAGGTTAACTAAAGGTACTAGGTTATTTCACAATTTTATTAAAACTGCTCAATCTGTCTGAATGCTCCTCCCCTTCCAAGTCTTCCCTCTGTGGTGCTCATGACAAATATCCTCAACTGGTTAAGACTTAGCTCAAATACCACTTCTACCATGGGGCCTTTCCTGGCTACATCCCCGGCCCCACCAACTCAATTAGTAACCATTTCTACCTTCCTTCCTCCACATCTTTCATTGATTGGTTTACCATCTTCATCTACAAAGAGATCTCCCTGGACTGTCAAGTAGGCAGAAACCTCTGGCATCCTAAGATAGCTGCCACTGTGCTTCCTACTGGTGCCAAGACTTGGCAGAGCAGTAGGCACTAGCTGAGAGGCGAGGGCAGGGTTTTTTATTATAAATTCCTTCATTGCACAGGCTAGAGAATGTATTTATAAAATAGCAATTAGGAGATAAATCTGTTTATAGGCTTGAAAGGTACTTAACTGAGAGGAGGGAGTTTATAGGATGAACAAGAACGGAGGGGCAAAGGGAGTCCACGTCATTCAAGATTTACAGTTGAGTAATAAACAGCTGGAGAGCCATGGAGTATGCCAGAAAGAGAAGAGCTTTGCAGTAGGGAGGTTATTTTCTGACTCCTTTTCCATTGCTTTTATCACGTTAAAATATGCTTTGGTATTTGCAGCACATAATTCTGGGATCGTTTATTTATTCCTCTGTCTTCCCCAAGATTTACACCCCCTATGTATTTAGAACCCGCATGCTTAGCAGGAAGGAGAGTGTACTCCCTCTTCTAGCTTGTTAATGAAGAGGCCTGCAAGGGCTGCAGAAACACACCAACAGCTCAGCATCCCACCAGACTCCTCCTCAGGAGCAGAATGCATCATCATTTATGACTGCACTGTGTACATGGTCTTTGGCCAATTTTCACTCTCTTACTAAATTATTACCATAGCCACTTTGAAATAATTTTCTGAGTACAAACAGAGAACGAGTTTTCAGCCTGCCAGTCAGATCAATAATCACAATCACCCCAGATGGGCTTCTGCAGCCAACTTTCTCAGGGAGGGGAGGGAGTGGAAAGCAAGACTTTGGGAGCTGGCCTACCTATGTGTGAATCCTGTCTTTGTCAAGCTTTGTCACTCATAAAACATCAGAGAAGTTATTTAACTTCCTTTGGATTTAAATTTCAAGTCTGTTAAAATGATGATAAATTTGCTTCATGGGGCTGGTGCCACAATTCAGAGTAATATTGCAATATTCTCTTCCTCTTCTTATAGTGTCTGATTGGAGGGCTGGATGTAAAGAGGAAGATGGAAGAAAATGGTTGATCTGTTCCACTATTAAGGTACAGCCTGAATGATTAAGGATCAACTTTAGGAAACATTGGTTCTCTTTGTTATTATACCATGACCCTGACATCCTTAAATCACCCTTTCTCCAATTCATGCCACCATTTACAAGTATTCATTTGCTTCTTGTTTCCTCGCCACATACACTGAAACCTCTTTGCTTGTCTTTTGGGGCATTCTTTATAACATATGGCCCATTTGGACCAAACGTACTTTCCAACTTACTAATGGTAATAATTTTTATGGGTTCATGAGCATGCAAAGTACTTTAATTACATATTCGACTTTACCTACATGGTTATGTCAAACTACAATGAACCTTCTTCTCTTTTTAGTTCCTAAAGCAGAATAGTGCCAGGCAGTCAACATCCAATGTGGAATGAGGAGCCTGGGGCTTCATCCTCTATCCTCCTTTCTTCTCTGCCTACTTACTGTCTTGGGAATTTTATTCAGCCTCCTAGTTTTGACTTCTCTGTATACCCAGACAACTCCCAAATCTATTTCTACAGACCCTACTTCTCCACAGAACTCCAAATTCATACATACAGCTTCCTATCAATGGCTCGACTTGGATGTTTAAGAGCCATATCAATATTTCTAAAACCTATTTTAAAATAATTGTAGATCCACAAGAAGATGCAAAATGGTACAGAGAGGTCCTATGTAGTCATCTCCCAGCTTCCTGCAATGATGACATCTTACAAAAAGCCGTATCAATTTTAGCATGTCCAAAACCAAACTCCTGATCCTATCACCAAAAGCTGCTCCTTCACATTCAATAAATATTTATATATTATCTCTTCTTTGTATACAGAGAATTTATTAACATCACTAAATAGTACCTTATACTATTAACAAATTGTAGTTTGACACACATGCATACATATGCCTTGATAAACTATGAGCTTCTCAAAGGCAAGAGTCATAGCAATCTTTTGTTTTTAGCACATAGAACAATGGCAATTAAAAAGTCTAAAATAAACATTTTCCTGAAAGTATTTAGAATGAATAAACCTCATTCAGGTCAGAATCAAGAGTCAAATGGTGACTACACTAAAACCTAAGATCAATAGGAAAAATACTTTTTTAAGATAAAAAAAAATATGACATAACAGTCATAATCCCAAGAAAACGCATAGTGGCATTCAGTATGATTATAAAATAGTGATAACAATCACCATAAAATTTAGAGGGAAAAAAGGCTAAAATATGAGTATACCACTTAGAAATAAGAGCTTCAGATATGCAGTATCTTTAAGACAGTGTGGGTCAGAGATACATCCCCTCTATTTAAAAAATTATGAAAAAAGATCACATGATCTTATTCACTGATGTAATATATACACCAATGATTATATATAAAGATAACTGTGGTTTACTACACACACACACACACACACACAAATAATTACAAATGCATGTGAATGTATTTAAAGTAAAAATGTTATATCTTGGATAAACTAAAACTCATTTACTTATAACAAAACTATGTATGTATATATGATAGTAAATTTCAGGTTTGACTAACATTTTTCAATGATTTTTATCATTTTTCCATTTGGTCTTAATTAAAGTCCTTTGTTAAAGCTTTATTAAGACTTAGGCCTCCTGAGTTGATGCTTTTCTACTCATATGTGTAGTAATGTGGTTGCTTCCTGAACAACCTGGGTTTGGACTGTGCAGGTCCACTCATACGTGGCTTTTCTTCTTCCTCTCCACCCCCCTGAGACAGCAAGACCAACCCCTCTGCCTCCTCCTCGGCCTATTCAACATGAAGTTTCGAGGAGCATCCTGGGGCGTCCGAGCCTCCGATAAGCTCCTCCAGCATGACATCACGCATCTTGCTACGCCAGCAACTCATGCGCGAGCAGATGCAGGAGCAGGAGCGTAGGGAGCAGCAGCAGAAACTGCAGGCGGCCCAGTTCATGCAACAGGAAGTGCCCGTGAGTCAGACCCCAGCCATCAACGTCAATGTGCCCACCACTCTTCCCTCTGCCACCTAGGTGCCAATGGAAGTCCTTAAGGTGCAGACCCACCTCGAAAATCCAACCAAGCACCACATACAGCAAGCCCAAAGGCAGCAGGTAAAGCAGTACCTTTCTACCACTGTAGCAAATAAACATGCCAACCAAGTCCTGAGCTTACCATGTCCAAACCAGCCTGGCGACCATGTCATGCCACCGGTGCTGGGGAGCAGTGTGCCCAACAGCCCCACGGCCATGCTTACGCTTAACTCCAACTGTGAAAAAGAGGGGTTTTATAAGTTTGAAGAGCAAAACAGGACAGAGATCGAGTGCCCAGGCATGAACATGCATTCATGAGCGTCATGTATGCAGATGGATGATGTAATTGATGAGATCATTAGCCTAGATTCAAGTTATAATGAATAAATCCTGGGCTTGATGGATCCTGCCCTGCAAATGGCAAATACGTTACCTGTCTCAGGAAACTTGATTGACCTTTACAAAAACCAACCCCCAATGCCTCACCCCCACCCCCGCGCCTCGCCATTAGCAACTCCTGTCCAGCCAACCTTCCCAACATCAAAAGGGAGCTCACAGCATGTATTTTTCCCACAGAGTCTGAGGCAAGAGCATTGGCTAAAGAGAGGCAAAAAAAAAAAAGGACAATCACAACTTGATTGAACAAAGAAGAAGATTTAACATAAATTACCGCATTAAAGAACTAGGTACTTTGATTCCCAAGTCAAATGATCCAGACATGTGCTGGAACAAGGGAACCATTTTAAAAGCATCGGTGGACTACATCCGAAAGCTGCAACGAGAACAGCAACGTGCGAAAGAACTTGAAAACTGACAGAAGTACTGGAGCATGCCAACCGGAACCTGATGCTCAGAATATAAGAACTCGAAATCCAGGATTGAGCTCATAGACTTTCACTTATTGCATCCGCGGGTCTCTGCTCCCCAGATTTGGTGAATAGGATCATCAAGCAAGAACCCGTTCTTGAGAACCGCAACCAAGACTTCCTCCAGCATCACACGGACCTGCACGACGACCCTTGATCTCATGCATGGCACCATCACCTTCAACAACAGCCTCGGACCGGGGACCGAGGGCAGCCAAGCCTATGGCGTCCCCACGAAAATGGGATCCAAACTGGAAGACATCCTGATGGACGATACTCTGTCTCCTGTTGGCGTAACTGACCCACTCCTCTCCTCCGTGTCCCCGGGAGCTTCCAAAACCAGCAGCCGGAGTTGCAGCATGAGCATGGAGAAGACGGAGCATGCCTGTTAGCAAACCCGCCCTGCCTTGCACCCTCACAGACTGCTTCCTTTCTTGATTAGTAGATTTAATAATTTACCTGAAGGGGTTTTCTTGATAATTTTCCTTTAATATGAATTTTTTTTCATGCTTTATCAATAGCCCAGGATATATTTTATTTTTAGAATTTTGTGAAACAGACTTGTTGATTCTATTTTACAACTACAAATGCCTCCAAAGTATTGTATAGAGAGTGTGCAGTATCTGTGAACCAAATGCACCATGGACTTTAGCTTTCTGAGCAAGAGGATTTTGCATCAGAGAAATGCCTGTCCATTTTTATTTAGGGGAAACTTGATTTGAGATTTTTATACCTGTGACTTCCTTGGAAATTAAATGTAACATTTAATTGAAAGAATGTAAAGCAACCAAAAAAAAAAAAAAAAAAAAAAGAGGGAAAGAAATTCATACTAACCCTTTTCCATTTTATAAATGAATTAATTCATGGGTACTGCCTTAAAGATACAGTACCTTTCTAGCATTATTTAGTCTTTATACTGCAAACTATTTAAAGAAATACTATATTCTGTAAAAGACCAAAAAAAAAAAAAAAGAGAGAGAGAGAGAGAGAGAGAGAGAGAAAACAAACAAACCTGCAGCCTTTTCATGAAGATTGTCTGGTTAGAAAATGTAACTGATACCAAGTGAAATTAAAGGGAGTCAGACCAAGGCTCTGAAATATAGAGTCTAATCTTCAAAAAAAAAAGCTTTATTAAGCCTATGAAGTTTCTAAAATCTTACTTGGGAAGAACTCTGGTCCCCAAAGACATCCATGTCCTTAATCCCTAGAATCTATGAATATGCTACTTTACATGGCAAATAAACTTTGCAGTTGTGATTAAGGATACAAAACCTGAGGGAGGAAGATAATCCTAAATTACATAGGCAGACACAATCTAATTACATGAGTCCTTAAAAGTTGAGAGCCTTTCATGGCTTTGGTTGGCCAGAAAGATGTGAAGAAGGTCGGAGATGGTCAGAGAGGTAAACTGCTGCTGGCTTTGAAGATGGAGGTGACAGGTCATGAACCAAGGAATGAGGCGAGCCTCTGGACACTGGAAAAGGCAAAGAAATGGATTTTCCCCTAGGGCCTCCAGAAGTTGGAAGCCTTACTTGTACCTTGATTTTAGCCTTGTGAAAACCTTGTCTGACATCCAATCTACAGAAGCGTAAAACAATAAATTTGTGCTATATAAGCCACTAAATATCTTTTTAGAAGGAACACACATACAATAAACAGTGTCAAGAAGAGAGTTATTAGAATTAGAACACATGTAATCCAGGTTATTTGAAGAATAACGTAGAAATGGGGATAAAAAGTCTTGAAGGGTTACATGGTATTTTTATTCCATTACACAAACAGTAGTAGCGTTGAGGGGGAAGTAGCTCTATTTCTTTGCTGTTGTAGAAAGGAAGACAAACTGAACAGGCGGATATGGACTCCGTATAAGAGAATAATAAATGGATCCAAGAAACAAACAGGTTGTGTTAAAAAATAGGAGGCTCCTGTCCAAGAAAAGAATTATCATTTGCTGAAGATACATTTGAGCAGATAAGACTAGGATTGGAATTCTGGCCCAACTACTAACTTGCATCTGGCCATGAACAAATTACTTAACCTCTAACCTTCAGTTTACTCATTTCTAAACTGAGATTATTATACCTATATTGCAGGGCCATTGTGGTGATTACTTAAGATAAGGTAAAATGTTGAGCCAGTGCCTGGTAACATAATAAGTGAACGATAAATAGCAGCTATTATGTAGCACGTACAGTGACATCTGTAAGAGATAGATAACCTCTAAGGTCCTATAATTTATTGCTAGCTAGACATCCGTTTGGATATGTGTGGGAGGGCCCACTTTCTCCTTCTTTGGAGTTCCCACCTTGGCCCATAAAGCAGGATGTTTCCCCTATGGGTCCCTAGAAGTTAAGTATTACTTTGCTTTTCACCTTCCCATTTTTCAAGAGAGGAGGAGTGACATTTGATAAATGGAACAGGGAGAAGAAATCAGTTACAGGTAGCTAGCCACCTCCCTTTCTTTTTGATATGTACAAGACTGTAATAAGAGTACACTCTTCCACTATTCTTGCCCTTCCAGTGGTAAACATTTTTGCATCAGACCCAGACTTCTGCTCCAAAGAATCACATCTGTCCAATGTAGTCATGGACATTTGAAAGTGTCTCATCTGAGTTAAGGCGTGCTCCAAGCACACACTGGATTTCAAAGACCTAGTCTAAAAAAAATGGAAAAATATTTCATCAATTTTTGTGTTGATCACATGATGAAATGATAATACTTAGGACAATTTTACCTACTTCATTTTAGTTTGTTAAATGTGGTGACTAGAAAATTTCAAACTCCATGTGTGGCTCACATGACAGTTCTACTGGACAGCACTAATCTAGGGCCACCTCTTGGGTGGCAGGCAGCCCCTCTGACTAAGCCCATATGCTCTGCAAAACTGTGTGCCTGGTAGGGCTGGCTGAACATCTGAGGCAGGGAGTAGTGTGAGGAAGGCTCACATGGAGAACAAAGTCACGTTCCACACTCTGATTCTACCAACAATAAAGCTGATATTTTAATTTCCATCGATCTTATTCCACTATCTCTTAACTGATTATAACTTGAAAAGGAAAGATGGGATTCATTTCTTGCTCTTCCTACATCAAAACCTGAAGATATCACAGAAATATTTCTACTCCCAGGGATGTAGCACAAGCACATGATTTAGTGGTGAGCACAAAGCAAAGGCAGTGGTCCTGCTAGTCCTCGGGGCACAGGTTCCAAAGGCATGTGCGCTGATCTGCCGAGGGTGGCTCTCAGCTCAAACAAATGTGAGTGTGGGGGGGAACCTCCCCTGGGAAGTGGGTTTCTGAGGCAAGTGGGATTTCACAGCAAACAGCCAGTGACAGTAGCTACTGTGGCACTCAACTGAGAGGAACCCAGGGCTAAAGTGAGGGAAATGGAAATGAGGAAGGTACAGTGACTACAGGGAGGGATACATGAAACAAATCAGTCTCTGAGAGAATAGATGATATGAATGGATATACTTCCTTTCCTCCAAGGCAAACATATGCTGCAGTTAACCTCTTGATTGGAGACTTTCCCAACCAATCTCTGAACAGCTGGCTTGATCTAACAGCCTGGCAAAGCTAAACCATAAGCCTTTCTCTGCCTGTTCTCCTTCCCTCCCATACCACTGCGCCATTTCTATGGTCTCTAGCAACCTCCTAACGTGTGTTTCGACTGGACTAACAACAGGATTCTGGGAACCTTGTTTTGCTTGGTTAATTGTTTTAGGGCTGCTGATTTGCTTGCATTTTCTAAATTGCAAGGGTATGAATATAGAGCTGACGCTGGTACAACTTTTTTCTATTATTCTTTGAGGGTCTTTAAAAATGATTAAAAAAAAAAAAACTTGGTATGAGATTAACTTCATATTTGCTGAAGAAGCTACACTACTAAAGGGAAAAGAGGTATTTTCTGCTGAAGGAACCTGACTTGACCCAGACACCTAAAGCAGACCTCTCTGGCTAACACAGAGTAGACACCAGGAAAAATAATCTGTGGACTTTACTTTTGTTGAACTTCTAAATTTCAAATTTTGACTTAACTGAACTGTAACTAAAAAGGCAAAAGGATTTGATTTTGGGGAAGTTAATTTCTTCCTGAGAATTTAATAATGGAAATTGAAATTCAAGGCATTTTAAAGTTGCTGACCTATAGAATTTGGAATATTTTCTACTATTATTTAAGTTTATTGCATAATTTATGATAAGCTTTAATCATCAATCTAGTTGGGCAAAACTTGAGATGGGAAACAGATCAGAGAAAGGAATTTTTGGATTAGATTACAGGAAGTCAGAAGAATGTGCCCACCTGACCTATTTCATAACTTTCTGGAAACAGAGGCCAAACTGCCCACTACTGATCTCGAGAGGATACTCCACAAGACTAGCAGGTATGAGAGGAGTGGCCTCACGAAGCAGAGCACCAAGACCAGTGCCTGACAGACCCCAGTTGCCTTTCTCCCCTGGTTAGCAAGAGATTAGCCTAATCAGTTAAGGGAATAAAAAGTTCATTCCCTGAACCTACTATTTCTGTTACAAGAAAACTTTCACCCCCATCAATAGACAGAAAACTCTAAGAGGAACACATCTGGCATCCTTCTCCGTCTCCTCCATACTCTTCCACACAGGTTTAGAACTGGCTCAAAAGTTGTGTGTCGCGTGACTCCCCCTGCCAGAAACCTGGCGAGAATTACTTTCTAGTGCAGTTCTAGGTAGTCAAGTTTCAAACAAGTGTGAATGTGACAGACAGCCCAGTGGCCTATAGACCCAGGCTACACTCTTCAATTTCAGCTTTTCCAACAACATTTATTAATATTTATTTACTGTTGATATTTATTTCCAACTATTAGAATTCTAACAGTGGTTGTAAGAGGAGAAAGAGAAACACAGGAGAGAAACTATGACTCGAACTCCCACACTGAGGGCAGCACCCTCAAACTCCACTATATACAGGCTCGGCAAAAATCACCTCTTCTTTAATCTGACATCCTGGCCTAGAAATAGAGTTAAGGACATGAAGGCCCCTGAGGAGCTGCAGGCAGACCCAAGCCTCTTCTCCTTTCTCATACTTCTTTCTCCGAGAACTCTACATTTAATCTTGATTAACAATGACATAAATATATGTTTGTGTGTTAAGTACATACAGCAATCTCCCCCTTATCTGCAGTTTGGCTTTCCATGCTTACCCATAATCAACTGCAATCCAAAAATATTAGATGGGAAGTTCCAGAAATAAACAATCCATACATATTAAATTGTGCATCACTCTGAATACCCTGATGAAATCTCATGCCCTCCTGCTCTATCCCGCCTGGGACATGAATCACCCTTTATACCCAACCCACCTGTTAGTCACTTGGTTATAAGACTGAAACACAGTGCAGGTTGAGTATCCCTAACTCAAGATGCTTGGCCCAGAAATGTTTCAGATTTCATATTTTTTTTTAGGATTTTGAAATACTTGTACATACACAATGAGATATTTTAGGATTAGACCCAAGTCTAAATATAAAATTAATTTATGTTTCATATATACTTTATATATAGCCTAAAGGTAATTTTATATAACATTTTAAAATAATTTTGTACATGAAACAAAGTTTGCATACATTGAACAACTAGAAAACAAGCATGCCAGGAATGGAATTTTTCACTAGTGATGTCATGTTGGCACTCAAAAAGTTTTGGATTTTGAAACATTTCAGATTTTGTATTTCAGCTTTTCAAATTAGGGATGCTGATAATGTATATGTAGGGTTCAGTGCTATGCGCAATTCCAGGCATCCATGGGAGGGTCTCA